CCCTCCGGAACATTTAAAAGGGGACGGAGCTAGTACTTTATTAGGAAAACCGAACTCATCTGTCAAATAAAAAAAAAGGAAAACCGAACTCTTCCAGAAGAAAATTAGTCTCCTAAACTAGAAAAGGGTGCTCTCATTTTCAGATAATTTCGCAACACCTTCCTAGTTTAATTTACTTACCAAGTTATGCATCCCTGAACACAAATATTACTTTTGAACTATAAAAAAGAAAATCAAAGACGCGGTACTTTTTCTAATAAAAAAATATTTAATACTACGTACAAACAAAGGACAAATTTATTATTTTCATGAGCAAATTTGCAAGTTATTGAAGTTGCAAGAGCAAAAGTGACATATCAAAAGGCGACTAAATTTATAATTTTCTCAACACTGTTCCTTCCAAATATTATATAATATTCCACCGTTTCAATTTAAGATTTTCATTTTCCATTTTGAACCTTCCTGCTAAGGTTTTATTGTTTTACTTTCTTTTCTGGACGTGTCAATTTAAGATTCTCATTTCTATTTTAGGAAATATAAAAAATAATATATCCATAACATCGTAATTATTATCAATGACCACATCTAAAATATAATAATAGTGAATTAAGGTTAGAGTGTTTTAGGTATAAAAAATGTGTTGGTTGTAATCATAAGCTATAGTCTACTTGTACTTTGAGCTGAAATTTTTGTGCATAAGTTTGTGAAGCATTTTTAATACCTAATCAACCTTACACTCCATTTGTTAACTTATGTACAAGCTTTCAATACTAACGTTTCCCGTCAAATGTTTTACTACAACTCAACCGACCCATACTTCATTATTTTCCTTACTCTAATCTTGCTTTAGTATTTTTTTTTCTTTTTTTCTTTTTTTGCCTAACAAATATACTACGGAACATTGTCACAACCTGAAATCATATTATTATTCGATTTATGAGTATAGAACTTTGGATGTCATTCCTTTCTTTTTCAAACAAGATATAGAAATAGTAGAATAGTCAACACCAATTTGTTTATTACGGAGTAATTCATAGTCCATTTAGTAACACTGATATAATCTTAAATTTTGAAATTGAATAAATGCTTGCTAAAGTGGCTAAATTGTTCAAATATATATAAAAAGATTATATTTAACAAAAATTTATTAATAAATTAAAGAAAAATTATATAAAAAAGACTAAAATTATCATCTACAATAATTTTAACCAATTTAGTCAAAAAAGTTATTTCAACTTTACTTATTTTGATTATTGCACAATTCAGTGACAAAATCACAACTTACATGTTTGGTAAAAATATTGACTAATAAGGCTGATAAGCTGTAAAACGATTTACCAAATGGGCTCTTAAATAATTTTGAGCAAGATATGTGACTTAATTAGGGAAATCTACCTTATTTGCTACTACCTTCGTTCCCCTATCATTGTAGTACAAGAGGAAGTGGTGTGATTACCAAAAACTGAATTTAAGTGATTGATTTTGAATTGATAAAATGAAAATAAAATAAGAATGATTATAAACCAAACAAACACTACAAATATAATCATAGTAGGAGGACAAGAACAAAAAGATAAAACTATCTTAACTGGATGGAGGGAGTATTAAACAATTATAACTAAGACTGTTACAAATTTATGTTATATTAGTAATGTAAATATTTTGAGCTTGCTTCTTAGTCTCTATTTTGACTTATCGGACAAATCAAACTCCCCGGTAACATTTTTATGAAACATGCAGTTTTTTTATTTCAAACGCTAAATTGGCTATTAAAAAGTAAGATTGATGTTACTTTTCTGTTGAATTTGAAGAAAAAGTCTATTGTATTTGTTTTTCGTAAAGTATATTCTTTTTTAATTCGGCACATTTAGACAATTTGATCAGAATTTGATAAAATTTAACAAGATCACTCGATTCAATCAATTTCATTGCTACCTAAAGGACTTTCCAAGTCTTAAGCTACAAGTTTTGTGAGTAATATGTTCTAGAGGTAAAGCGAGAAGGAAAAAGGGTGAAAAGAAAAGAAAGGAAATGGACTCTTCTACAACTATGCAAGAAAAGAGTAAAAAGTTTATCTTGAAATTATAATGTTTTGTTAAAAAAATAACCGCTTCTCATTTGTATGCCCCAATTTTGTTCTTAAGCACGAGTGCTCTTCCGATATCAACTATCTTGAATGAGTCAATAATAATACATACTTTGAAAATGATTTCTAATAATATCAAGTATTTCAATAAACAAAAATAATAATATAAATCCACTTCAGACAAAAAAAACAATCAATCTTTTAAAACATCAAAAACTTATATCAAACGATCAAATAAATGATAGTTGGCAATATGATCACTTATTTAATATTTTGACATTAATTTCTGATGAATTAAATGATTAAATTTTTAGTTAGGAGTTGCTCTAAGTACATATTATTTTTATTGTACTTCTCATTCGTATCTCGTATATTACCATGTGAAGGTACGTCTTATATTAGTTCGAATGTGAGCCAACAATATTTAGATATGTACTTATGAGAGTGCTAATGATACTTTTCTTATAAAATTAGGAAAATAGGTAGGGGATGGCCTGTATGTGCATTTGCATTTTTTATTTTATTTTTGGGTCCTTTTCATGATGAGGAAATATTACGTACTCTATTTTTAAGCTGATATAAATGTTGATATGTTAAATTGTATCACCCCGCCCCCGTAGGGCCCGAGGTAGTTACTCCACATACTCTACGGACCTCTAGTACTGTCCTCACAAACCACCACGAGCCTTTACCGCGCACTTTGTCCTCACTCATGCGCGCTCTGAGAAACCGGGATGGAGAAAATACTAACTACTTTCGTCGGTAAACTGATAGCAATACATAGTACTCCCTCCGTATCACAATAAGTGTCTCACCTTCCTTTTTTGACCGTATCAAAATAAATGTTCACATTCATTTTAGGAATGAAATCCACCTTAAAAGTAGCTATAATGCACTTTAATAGAGTAACAGTACTGATACAGTATCAAAACTCTCATACTTTTTCAAAAAATGTACAATAAACCTATAAATTATCTTAAAGTCTTAAACTACGTGAAAAACCTATTAGGACCACTTTAAATATTTAAATATATATAATAAAAATGATAATGACCACTTTCCTACTGTAAATTTTATTATTCAAATAACAAAAACATTTATGCTCCGTACGTACAAATCTTCAAATAAGTTTATTTTAATAGTTACAAATCATATTTGGAGACCGTTTGGCAACATTAATTTTCGGCTTATCAGGCTTATCAGCCAAACTTTTCATCAGACACGTAACTTTTGTTTTCCCGCGCTAAATTGTGTAATAAGCTGAAAAAGTAAGGTTGGAGTTACTTTTCTGGCTGTATTGGCTGAAGTTACAGCAGATAATCATTTTAGCTATTTTTTACATATAATTTTTCTTTATTTTATTAATAAAATGTATTTTTAAAAATATTTTTTTCGTAAATCCGCAAGAATGAGCCAATATAGTCAGTTTAGCCAGAACTTCATAAATTTCAGCAAAATGAGCCAAATCAGCCAATTTTCCCACTACCAAATAGCCTCTTTGATAGTTCAATGATCAAATTTGATGTCAGAAATCATTTGATTCCTTCTTGCTATATACTCGCTCCGTCCCGCTAAGACATTCCCTCCCGGTTTGACCTACACACATATTAAGAAAATAAACTTACCAGGGGGTAAATTTTACTATTTTGACACTGTCTCAACACTGTTTGGCACTGTTCGACACTGTTTTGATGTAGATAACTTGCGCTTTAAGGAAAGAGGAACCTCTTTTTGGGACTGCTGAAAAAAGAAAGCAGGAACTTCTTAGCGGGATGGAGGGAGTACTCTGTACTACGTATTTGAATAGTCTGACTATGAGCTAGTTGTTTCTATGTTACTCAGTATATATTATTATTATTATTATTATTATTATTATTATTATTATTATTATTATTATTATTATTAATTTACTAATAATAAATTAATAATTGGTATTATTTAATTACGTTATTTTCCCTTTAATTAAAGAACAAAATGAAATGGCCTGACTTATTAATTTACTAACTTATGTGAAGCACTTTGTGGTTCAAAGCCATCAATATGATACTCCCAAGGAGGAGATCACAAGTTCAAAACTCATCTCAATCAAGGATGTTGACATTTAATAAAATATATACTACAGAGTATGTGATAAGAGAAAGTCCAACCATTTTTTTTATATAAAACTAGCGACTCAAAAGATAATTTTTTTAAGGGATGCGTTTATCGTTTTTCCTGTTTTTTAGTTTTTACATGTACTGATGTACATGCTCTTAAATATATCCAAAACGATCACTCGTTATGTCTAAAAAATGTGTAGTATAATGTTTTAATTTTCATTTCATGTGATGTTTTGAGTAAATTGTACTACTTAAAATAGTTAAAAAGGAAGATACATATATAAAAAATAGTGCATGTATAATTGCTCTAATCTCAAGCTAAGGAATTACTCTCTCCGTCCCAATGTATTTTGAAAAGTCAACATTTTTTGGTAAACAAATAATAAAAGTCAATGCTCCGTATTGACCGATAATTAATTTAATTTTTAATAGTTAAAATTTATATATTCAGAAACTACATTAAATTCTCTTCAAAGTTGTAAACTCCAAATAAGAATATAATTAAAAATTGACATCCTAATTAAGCGAATAAAATGAAGTTGTTTGACCAAGAAAAGTCAAATTTGCAAATCAATTTGGGACGGAAGTAGTAATATAAATTAATATAAAAATCAATCACCTTGGTCCTACCCTATGATCAAAATTTCATTAACACATACTTTGTATTTGGTTTAAATAAAAAAAAAATTGACATGTATTATTGTCAAACCGAAAAGTAGGATTGATAAACACAAATCTAAACATTAATGATACGACTACATTCTTCGGACTATATTTTATTTTGCTTAAAAAACGCTGTCTAGCGTCTAGATTTGGCTAAGACCGATTATGGGCAGCCATGAAACTAATCCCCCATCTTTCATACTGTATTTAACTACCAAATTCAAGCCATTTCAGTTATCATACCCAAAAACAGAAAAAAGCAAAAAAAAAGAAACTAGTTCAATTCCCTTAATTCCAAATTCAATTCCATCATCATCTCCCACTCTCCCAACTCCTCCATAGCTATGGAGATCTTTCAGAAAGCGAAGGCGGTCCGGCTGAGGAGCCACCTGAACAAGTACTTAGTGGCGGACGACGATCAGCAGCACACGCGCCAGAGCCGCAGAGGCGGCGCGTCGAAGAAAGGCCGGTGGTACGTAGAGTTTGTGGAGGGAAACAGCCACCTGATTCGCCTCAGGAGCTGCCACGGCCGCTACCTGATGGCCTCCGACGTCCCGCTGCTCCTCGGCATGACCGGAAACAGGGTGCTATTAACAGAACAGCAAAACGTGAAAGATCTGCGAATTGAGTGGCAGCCTGTCAAGGATGGATTTCAGGTAATTGATCGCTTTAGTCCATCTATCATTACATCCCCGAATTGATTGACCTCCGAAATTGTACACAAATACTGAATCGTATAATAAATTCAGGTGAAATTGAGGAGTTACGGCGGAACGTTTTTGCGGGCGAACGGCGGGACGCCGCCGTGGAGGAACTCTGTAACGCATGATAATCCTCATACAGCTTCGACGAACAACTGGATTTTGTGGGACGTGGAGGCGGCTGAGGTGCCGGAAAATGAAATATTGACGGATTCCTTTTCCAATGCTTCTAGCTTTTCATCGCTCTCTGATGAATTTCCTGATTTGGATACGAATTCGCCGGTTTCCGTACAGTCAAGTTTTTCAACTAAGGTGCGTTTCCTGTTTGACTGACTGTTTATTGAATTGGTCCTTGGCGACGAAGCTTGGCTGATCGGTATTGCTGAATTGTCAGACCTTTGACATTGTCGAGCTCTCACGTATTGATTCTTATGAGTAATGTCAAGATGAAATTATATTGGGGAGGACGAAAATAAGAACATTCAGCTACAAAAGTCGAAATACTTCAAACATTTTTTATAATTTTTGGTGATCGTTATTTCTGAATCGCTGAGTGGAGTGAGTTCATAAATATACTCCTTCGTCAGTCGCCACTGGGATAGTTTATATTCCAATCCAATTAACGAGGATTTATAAAATAATGTCATTATTAAATATACTCCGTATAACCGGATTTTCTCTTCCAAAATGACTACAATAATGCGGAGTACTCATTAATTAAATTGAAAAATACAATAATGGGTGGAACTATTGGATGGATTCAAAAATGCAGAGTACATTATCCATAGACTTTTTCTGTCCACATAGAGAAATTTATGTATGTAGAGACAATTGGTATTGGTTTGGAAATACTCTCATATAGACAACTTTATGGGTATGGACAAACAAAGTATGCGAATATAGCAGGGCGGCCTTGTATGTCTGCAAAAATTTTACAAAAAATTATAGAACTCATTTCTATTTAAACTGACATGCATAATAATTATAATAATAGTATTTAAAAACATTTAAAAAAAATTACAGAATCCTAGATTTAAACATTGTGATTGACATTATTGAGAAAAATGTATCAAAAACACATAAGACCGTAGAAAGAAAGAGACAAAAATGCCACATATTTAATCTTTTGTGTTCATCTCTCCATTTCACATGTGCACCGTGCATATGGTAGTATTGTGGGCACGAAACTCTACGTGTAACAGACTTTCGAGAGATCACAAATAATAGTTGTCACATATGTTTTCTTTTGGACTGTTTTCATTCTCAGATCAGACCAGACCAAATCGGATAAGACCAGACCAGACTTTCATAGTTATAAAATACGCAGAGATCAGATATTTATCAGACTAGGCCAGACCAGCTCAGACCAGACTTTCATAGTTCTAAAATACACATAGACCAAACATTTATCAGACTAGACCAGAGCAGTTCAAACCAGACTAGGTCAGACCACCAAGTTTCAATCCAAAAGAAAACATCCTAGGAGCCCATTTAATATTATTATATTAATAACTCTTATATTAAAAGCCCGTTTGGTATTACTAAAATTGAGTGTATTGATTGGTTCTGGTGAAGTTTATGAAGTTCTTGTTGAAGTGGTTAGATTGATTGATTTTGTTGATTTATGAAAAATTATTTTTAAAATACATTTTATTAATAAAATAAAGAGAAAACTATGTGAAAACACAGCTAAAGTGGTCATCTGCAGTAACTTCAGCCAATACAGTCAATAACTTCAATTTTACTTTTTTTTTATTATTACACAATTCAGCAAAAGAAATAAAAAAATTAGGTTAAAAAATTAAATCTTAAGCCCAATAAACTGAAAAACATGTTCACCAAATCGATTCTAGTCTTATACTTTTATCAGGCAACCTTTTTTTTATCGTCAAAACTCATTATGTTTAATCCAAAAGGTCATTAGCCAGCTGGCTAAAAATACAATCAGACGCTAGATCATAAACAAACTGTTGATCTGGTGAATGGACATGTGCTCGAGCTAAAGCATGAGTTATACGATTCGCAGACTTTTTACAAAAAGAGATAACTAAATTTCTTTTTAAAGCACGTAAAGCAACTATATCCTACTCCCTCCGTCCCGAAAAGGTTTGCCAAATTTCCTCTTTTGAATGTCCCAAAAGAATTTGCCATTTCCATTTAAAGTAAGGACTATGTGATCGACTAAAGTTAATTCTCTCTCTTCTACACAAATTTCAACCACATAGTTTTTACTTTATTAATCTACGTGAAAGTCAAAGTTGGTGAACCTTTCCGGGGGACGGAGGAAGTATAAAATAAGAGAGAAGTAAGAATGACCCTTCTTGCTTTCCAATCCTCGGACCACCGTCTGAGCGTCCGTCTCCACAATAACTTCATTCCATCCTGATGCTATGGCTTCCTGGAAAGCGTCATGGACACCCAGTGCCTCGGTTTCCTGTGCCGTCCACTCAACCGAATGTGAAACACTTTTAGCTTTCAAAAAATCTCCATTTTCATCCCGGGCAATCCACCCCCAAGCGCGAACACCTCCACCCTCATTGACCGCCCCATCCACATTATTTTCACCACCCCCATTGCCGGCTTTCGCCACATGGTCACAGCCAAGCAGCCTTCACTCCCCGAAGCAAAAGCTCCAGGCTGCGCAGAAACAACACCCGAGCCCGCAGCAGAAGCCTGCGCCTCTCTCCTCCATCTTTGGAACAACCTGCTGTCAGCCATTCGAACCACCTCCCCTGCTGCCTTTTAATCAACCACATAATTGTTCGTGTTGAATTAAATTCACCAAATTCAACTAATTGATTTCAGTGTTGTGAGGTGGACTTTAGTCTTAGCTATATTTGTACGGAGTATTTTGTCATGTTCGACGATTATTTTAATTTTTTTTTAAAGTAGAAGACTTATTTACGTTATTTAAACTTAAATCTTCCTTTTTTTACCTTCAATTTTGAAAAGATATATTTTTAAGGGAAATGTTTTTATTTACTCGAGACACCTTCACAACTCATTTTGTCTGATTCGTTGTTAATTTGTTACGTTTGGGAGCCGGCTCAATAGATTAGGAGACCCGGTGCAAATCACGTAAAATAGACCTTATATTAAACAAAATAATATAAAAACTAGCCTTTAAAAAACAACCTAAAAAAGACTACAATATTTAGATATAATCATATTTCGAACCTGAACAACCAAAATCGGTAAAAAAAAAAAACTAAAACCAAGAAGAAATGAATTAAAACCATGAACTAAAAAATACGATAGTATATAGTAGGATACTACTGAAAAAATTACTCCCTCCGTCCCTTAAAACCAAGTTTGTCCAAACTATATGAGGAATTTGTGCTAATTACTATAACTAGGCCTTATCCAGACCTTATGTATAAAGAAGTTGCATATTTATAATTAACAATTGCACTTTAATTACATATAAATATTAGTATTTAATGTTTGTATTTAAAAACAAAATACTAAAATACGAATCTTTAATCAAATAAAAAAAGTTTTGTATATTATGTAGACTATATTTAAAATTTTTGACCTTCTGAATCGAGAGGCCTTGTGCGGTATCACTTCTTGCACGTCCTCATCTACAGCTCTGGTCATACTCCATAAACACTAGTATTCGTATCATCGCCACAAATAACTCGTTACTGAAGTGTTCCAAACGCCATGGCAAATTGCCAGCCAGAACAATGAGCCCCTCCTAGGATCCATGGACAAATCGCTGACCATTTGACCGCAATCAATATGGAGCTTTGACCCTCTAAATTAAATCCTCAATATTTAGTTGAAACTTGTACAAAATTGTCCAAAGAATTTCCAGGAAACTTCCTGCTTTGAGTACTCGGTTCCTGGTTTTGACTAAATCACTAAGCAACTTATTCATAAACTCAAGTTTTACGTAAATAGACCAGACTCTACCGTACCAGAATTTCATAGTTATAAAATAAACGGAAATTAAACATTTATTAGATGAGACCAGATCATTCAAATCAGACCAGACTAAGACTATGTTTGGCACAACGAGCTGGAGCTGGAGACTAATGTCTGAATTGAGAGCTATTGACTGAACTAAAACTATTGTCTGGAACTGAATTCTGATGTGCTGAATCTGGATTGCTAGCTGAGTGAAGTATACCCGTTTGGCAAAAAGAGCTGAAGTGTGACTCGAAAATGTAAAATTACATTTATGGGCATAAGACATACTCCTATTATTCAAAATACGGGGTATATTACAATGATTTTTATATTTTAATATTTATTAAAATATATTTAATAAATCTTCTTAACAAACCCTCCACATAAATGATAAATCCTCTCATTTTCATCTCCGTTGCATCAGTGCTAGTGTAGCACAGAGTGTAAAGGTCATCACAACAAGGGGTGAAACGGTTATTAAGAAAAAATGAGTTTATGTAGTTGATAATGAATTGATAAAGTGAGAATAAAGTAAAAATGATTCAAAGCCGCACAAATTGTATCTAATTTGGTATGAGACAATCTTAGTGATATTTTCCGAAAAGGTAAAATTGGACAATCTTAGTGAGACAGATGGAGTATTAAAGATGATAAAGTGTATAGTTCGGAGTACTTAATAGGTACTCCGTATTAAATAAGGTAAAGTATATGATCAGCCGCACTGAAGCAATATTGAATAGAATGCAAAATGCATATGCCCCTGCTCAAATAAGAAAGTTCCATTTGCAAATTTCATTACCAAATTGAAGTAAGTTGTTGATCAGAAAAATATCTATCAGCTCTTTCTCAAAATCAGGTATAAGAATTTTATCGCATTCGGGTAAAAATATATGTTAATCATGCCTGTCAAAATTATGAATCTCGAAGAAATTCAATCCGGAAGCATCGAATGGAGAGTTCGTGTACGTGTGATACAATTATGATAAGTTACGGAGTATGAAAAGACCAAATAAATAAGATTACAGTTACTTTTCTCACTGAATTATTGTAGAAGACCAATTCGACTATTTTTCATATAATTTTTTTCTTTATTTGTTTAATAAAATATATGCAATTGAAGAACATCCACATCTCAGATTTTGATACCTCTAAAAAATATAAAAAATAACTATCATACCATGTTAAGAATAGACGTACCAATTTTTTTAGTCGAATTGAAAACATCCTAAACTACTCCATTAATAACTATAATTTCAAAACACAAACAAAGTAAATATTATTTTTATTACAAATGTGAATACTTATATTTTACTGCAAAATTAGATCATAATCCTAATTTAAATATATTTGAAATAACGCTCTGTTATTTAAAGTGATTAATTTTTGAGCTTAATTGAAACCACAACAATTACATTAGTGAATTAACGTTCTCCATTTTTTGAGTGATTTGGAAAGAATATCTCATTGGCATTTTGTTTTTAATATATGAATAAACTATATTCATCTTAGCAAAAAACAATTACTTTGTACTTTTTTTAGAAACTTTCAAATATGTTTGTCCTTGTGCTTTATTTAATGTCGAAAAATTCCATGCGCCATTGGTCCCGTTATCTAAAAGTATTGGTCAAAAGGTTTTGATTCCACATTTATCATTGGTCTGACACTTCATATAGCGGAATTCCTTTCAAATTTCAATGCAGACAATTTCCAACCGTCGTTTCCATTTTTATAACGATAAACAAAAGTCAAAAAGTACAATCTCTGCATTAAATGAGTATATATCTTTCAAAATTTGTTTTTACTCACGATCAATTCTACATTATCATGTCACGAATCAACCTCAAAAAGTGGCTTGAAATTTTTTATATGTGATGACGAAGATCGTGCTATCAACACCACTAATAATTTATAAAAATGTTTTTGAAATTTTATGATACTTTTTGCAAGGCATAAAAATTTATGAATTCTCTGGTTTATAGTTTTCTGACATCTACTAATAATTATACCATTATTAATTTCATTACCTCATAGTGTTTATAGTTACAACCTATCCTTTATTTTAATTTTAATTGCAATTTTTCATATGAACCAAATTTTTATTTACTTATTGGCGTTACAGCTACTACGTGGTATTATATACAAGTAATAATCAAAGCTACGACATATAAACTTGATATTTTTTATTTGACAAAAGTACACATTACGTATCATCATCATAAAATATACTTTGTATTTTACATAAATTTATTCTAGATACACCCGTGCATCGCACGGGTACTAGGTCTAGTGTTCAAATGTATCTCTAACTTTAGTACTAGTAAAGTTTTGTGGAAAAGAGAACATGTACGACACCTTTCTTCTTGTTAAAAATCCAAATTCAACGAATCACTTTTAAATATTCATAGAAAGAAATTTTAAACTATGAGGGTGTTTGGATCTGATTCTCAAAACTGATTCTGCTGCTTCAGGGAGCTGAAACAGAAGCTGGAGTGTTTGGGTGAAATTCCAGAAGCACTTCTGGTGCTGTAATTTACTCTCAGAATCAGTTTTTTTAGAAGCTGTTCCAAACACCCCTATATTAGGAAGATATGATTCCTTATGTTCCTTATTTCATACCATGTGTACCGTTAGTCCGTTACAATCAAATTTAATCAGCTCATTAAATAAAATTGTGTTAGAGCATCTTTAATACAATTTTGAAAAAAAAGGAAGCTACTAGAGACTTGCTTACGATTTTGAAGCTACTAGTCTACCATTGGAGTATTGCTCTCCCTTTTGCTTGAGAAATGAGAAAGCTAATTAGCCTAAATGAGCTACTCGTTTGAGTAATGAGAATTATTAAATCTAGGATTGTACATAATAAATGAAGAGGAAAAAATTATAGCTAATCATTGGAGTACATTTCAATTTTGTTATAAATTCTTATGTGGGTAGTCAAATTATAAGGGCAATTAGCTAACCACTGGAGATGCTTTTACATAATTTTATAAATGAGATAGAAACAATGACTACAATAATACCCCCCACCTTTTCAAAAGACAAAAATAAGTTCTGATTTGAGTTTGGACAAAAGTAAGACCAAACTAAAAAAAAGGACCAAAGGACCCTGGAACGCAAATCCAACCGGCAATTCCTCTCCCTTCATCAGCGCACATCTACAGTTTCGCATACCATTGGGAAGCTGCACCAACGCCGACAAAACGATGCACTCGCCTCCGTCGCGCCGCCGAATGTCGTGCTCTTCATCACCGCCTCACACTATGCTCTTCTTCGCCATTGTATTCCATCTCCACTTCATCTTTCTCCTCATCTATTTGTTCTTCCAGATCTGTTTTTCCAAACAGCTAGGGTTCGATAGTGTGGCTGGTCGGAGCTGGATCTGGCGACGGGCTATGGTAGTGGGATGCACCGGTTGAAGGGGACGGGGTGAGAAGAGCGGGGTATGGGCGGCGGTGGCCAGCAGTGACAAAGGGTTTAAATTGGGTGTTGGGGGTTGAGGGACCCTGTGGACGGGGTTGGGGTTGTGGTTCAGGCTGGGGACGAGTTGGGAAGGCCGGTCACCGGAGAAGGAGAGGCTGGTCACTGGCGAGTCTGTTGGGCAACATTGGTGGTGTCCGGCGACGGCGTAATGGCGGTTGTGGGGTAGCACTAGTAACTGGGTTGGTTTGGGTAACTGGATGGATCCTGGCTGGGGCTAAGTCGGGCTGAGGTTGGGGCTGAGACTAGATCTGGGAAGGGGGTGAGTTTTGGACTGGGACTAGGTCTGGGTTTGGAAGGGACCTGAGTCTGGGCATGGGGCTGGGTAGGGGCTGGTGTGGGGTGTTAGGGGTTGGGGTTGGGTAAGGGTAGTTGCAAGCGGTAGCGACGGTCTCAAGACAAGCGGGGGCGGGGTCAATGGACGGGCAGTGGTAAGTGGTAACTGGAACGGGTGGGGCGGCAGTTAATGGACGGGCGGTGGTAACCGAAACGGGGGTAAGACGGTGGTCATTGGAGGAGCATTGTTGTCACGGTCGGGTAACTGTAACTGGACGGGTCGGGTATAGTAACTGTAACTGGACAGTTGGGTAACTGTAACTAGATGATCGGGTAACTGTAACTGGACGGTCGGGTAACTAAAACAGGACGGTCGGGTAACTGAAATTGATGGTCGGGTAACTGTAACTGGACAACCGGATAACTGTAACTGGATGGTCGGATAACTATAACTGGACGGTTGTGTAACTGTAATTTCACGGGTGGATGTTGATAATTGGACTGGTGGATGTTGGTCACTAGATGGATGAACATTGGTCACTAGGCGGAGTTTTTAATCACTAATAGATCCGGGTAACTGTAATTGATCGATCCGGATGATTATACTTGGTAGATTCGGGTAATTGTAAATGATCAGGTCAGATAACTGTAACTAGGCGGGTGAGTTAATCGGACTAAAATATAATCCGGTAAATGTAAAATGAGAGTTTAAAAAATTCAACATCTCTTATTGATTTCCTTGCGAGCATACTCCGTATTTAGAATTGGGAAATGTATTGGAGCCGCTGGGATGATACGTACATATCGAGCCCGTTTGGTAGCACGGAAATCGGATGTTTTGGCTGATTCTGCTGAAATTTATGAAATTCTGGCTGAAGTGACTGTTTTGGCTGATTCTGCTGATTCAAGAAAAAATATTTTAAAAAAATATTTTATTAATAAATTATAGAAAAAATTACATGTAAAAATAGCTAAAATAGTCCTCTACAGTAACTTCAGCTAATACAGCCAGAAAAGTAACTCCAACCTTACTTTTTCTGCTTATTACACAATTCACCACACAAAAGTAAAAGTTATGTGTTTGGTGAAAAAACTGGCTGAGAAGCCTGATAAGCCAAAAAAAGAGGTCTCCAAACGGGCTCATCAATCATGAATAATGTGTATTAACCAGTGGGGCAGCAGGGGTATACTAGACATTTTCATCTCAATTTTTTAAATGATGCAACTGGATTGTCTGTTTTTTGGGAAGTATTAAAAGAAAACTCATTTTTGTCCAAAACCTTTTAATTAGTTATATTCATGACCCAACCCAACGAGATATTGGTGACTTGTGCATGCAAATGAACTATAGGTATCACAAATTAAATGCTTTAAAACGACATAAAAAAGTTAAACAAAAGCATGGAAGGTACGATTCTAGACCGTTTGGGATCTCAGTTGTCTCAATTCCAACTCGTGTTCATTACTTGTGTCACTTCAATGGGACCAAGACATTTGGGACGGTTTGGGACGCCAATCATACAAGTAATCAAACAAAAAATTTGCACCTCCGTCTCCAAAACAACTTCTCATTTTCCTTATTTGGATGTCTCAAAATAAACTTTTTATTTCTTTATTTGACAAATTATTTATATCAAAACAATGCAAAATAATGTCAAAAGTGTCAAACAGTGTCGAAATAATGTTAAAATAGTAAAATTTACTTCTCAATAAAGTTGTTTCCTTAAAATGTATGTAAATCAAAGCGGGAAGTTGTTTGAGGGAATACATTTTATTAATTTACGGAGTATGTTTTACCTATATTTGTAAGAATATGGAATTATTCTTGGCCACCTTATAAAAACTACTTCATCCGTAACATAAAAATCTTACACTTTCCTTTTTTGTCCGTAACAAAAAAATCTTCTCATTTCTAAATCTTCCTATCGTTCCATCAATAATTCTGAAAATAATACACTATTACAACTATTTTTTTGGATTTATCTTACATTCCACCACATTATTTCACTATTTTCCTATCATACTCTCAATAATTCATATCCTTTTTCACTATTCTTAATCTACCTACTTTTGAAATGGAAAGATTTTTAAATGATGGAAGTAGAAGCAAAAGTTACAAAAAGGATCCGAGGCACACGTGATGTCATAATTACTACGAGTTACTACGAGTGTGTTTAATAAGAATTCCATATTACACTCCGTACAATGCAGCCAGACAGCTAGATTCCACCACCGTCACGCCTATATAAACTTCGTATGTACTGATTCTTCGAAGCTCAACCTTTCTTGCCACTTGTTACCCTTTTTTTTCCTAAAAGGATTTCCGTTTCTGTATTCACCAGACGCCTTCAGTCACGCTACCAGCAATGGAGCTCTTCCACCGGGCCAAGACTGTCCGTCTCCGGAGCCACCACGACAAGTACTTGACCGCCGACGAGGACGAAGAGTCGGTGACTCAAGACAGGAACGGCACCTCCCCGAACGCGCGTTGGACGGTGGAAATCCCGGAAAACACGGACAACGTCATCCGCTTGAAGAGCTGTTACGGGAAGTACTTGACCGCCTCAAACCACCCGTTCCTGCTCGGCATGACTGGCCGGAAAGTGCTGCAGACTCTGCCCGGCCGCCTCGATTCCTCTTTGGAGTGGGAACCTATTAGGGAGGGAAAACATGTGAAGTTCAAGACAAGGTATTGTATGATAAGTCATTGAATTGAATTGATGATATTTGTACAAGATTTGAGTGTTTGGCTCTGAGAAGCATATAATAGTTGACCTTTTCTCTGGTTCAATTTTACTTTATTAAACGGATTAAACTTTCTACTACAGGTACGGGCAGTTTCTCAGAGCTAATGGAGGTTTGCCGCCGTGGAGAAACTCCGTCACTCACGACATCCCGCATAGGACGGCCACACAGGATTGGATTGTCTGGGATGTTCATGTTGTGGATATTCTGCTATTATCCCCTGTTCTGAAACCGGCGCCTCCCTTGGTTATTCATTCAGATTCATTCGCTTCCGAATCCGATTCTCCTTCAACAGCTTCAAATACTTCTCAGAGCTTTTCCGGTAGAGAGGTACATTTTATTTTCTACTCTTTCACTGTTGTTAAGACCCTGTCCAAACCAACCTTAGATGTAGAGTGGTCTTTTCTTTCTCCATATAGGTATATATATTCTGGAAATGGCAGAGAGATCTAATTTTGATCCTAAAACCGTAAAACTATAGTTGTAAAGATGTTTTTACTTGGTCTGGTTTCAGTCCTAGACCGTACTTAACTATACCATACTTAAACAGACCAGATTTCCGCAGTTGTAAAGCAAATATAGATCAACCATCTACGGATCTACCAAACCCGATCATAACAGAACAGGCTAGACTAACCATCTACCAAACCAAATCAGACCAAACTAGACTATAAAATTACATTTTAATTAAAAACATTCTAAATAGGGTACTAAGGCCCTACTGATCTAAAATATTGTCGTTAGTGCACTACTGGAGCCATTGAAGGTTCACCCACTCAAATTATTTCAACTAGAGAAGCTCTTAAGAGTCAAATCATCATGCTATTGCATTGGACTCAAGGATTAAGTTTAAACTCACATTTATATTTTGAAGACTTAATCATTGGCCTCTTTTGATTTTACTGGCCCCAACATCCTGAATCTAATATCTTACGGTTGGCCAGTGATTCACATCTGTGATGTGTCAGTGGATTTTTTATTCCCCCTTTTTTCTAGGCTTTTACTCAATGAGTTGGTGTTATTAAGACTTGGGGTTGCAAAATGCCTTTAGAACTCTTTATCTTTGTATAATACAAACTATATAATGACTTCAATCAAATCAAATAAATGGATTACTAAGTGTAAATTAGATGGAACTGACTTCTGCTACCAGACCCGCAATCCGAAAATCCTATTAAAATACATGAAGTTTATTTAAAAATATGATTTTACTTAAACAGTTATTGCCTTACTGGTGATCTATTATTATATTGTTCTATTTAAATTTTGCAGTCCGGCGATTCATTGGATAACATAGCAAAAATGGTAGGAGATGGGAGGCTAATTTTTTATCGTATTGCGGGTGATCATGGGGAGATTGATGAAGGGGTAGAGGAGCTTTGCATGCCTTTTAAGGGGAACAGCGTGGCTGAGTTGAAGAAGAGATTGGAGGAAGAGACTAATCTGGATGACATTGTTGTTTGCACTCGAAGCGTCTTGAATGGGAAGCTTTATCCCCTTCGGTTGCATCTCCCCCCAAACAATGCAGACATGGCTGTTGTCATTGTCCCGTCATCTTCTAAAGGTCAGGCCTTCGGTTTTTCTTATATTCCCAAAACTTGTTCCCCGGTTCTTAACGTTTGGCTTCATACATCTTGCCAATACCAAGTCTATCCTAAAGGATTTTACATGTGCATATCCCTAATCACAAAAAATACAGTATTACAGTCAATGTCACTCATGTTGTTTGTTTTCATTTTTTAAGTATATTTGTAATTAGCTTCTTGTCTTGGTTCTTTCAGTGGCAAAAGATTTTGCAGCAGCAGCAACAACGCCATTCTAGAGCAACCAAATTTGAAATGGCTGGGGGGTTAATTATTTGAAGTGGGCTTTGCAGTTCTGTTGGTCTATGAGAAGTATTTGTAAATACCTTCACATGGTGAAGTTAGGGTGTAATATTTAATTCTTTTTTTTTTTTGTTATTTTCGTATTAATAAATGGCCTAAAAATCCAGCACCTGAATTCATTGAGTATATATATGAAATAATAAAGTAAAAAAATATTGCTTTGGACAAAATCGAGCAAGTTCCCTCCACCTGCTCTAGGTCATACGGGCTTCCATCACGACACAACACCTCTACTGTTGGGACCGCTCGAATGTCGGAGCCACTTCACTGTTGTAGTCATGCAACTGACCAACACCTTTATTTTCTCTAATTTTCGGAATCGAGATGAACTTGTCCGAGATGACGACCTTTTGAATCTGTGGCGAGCTTCTGAGTCGGCGGTGGCAGCACACTTTGTACATCTGACATGCAGCAAGAGCCTTAACTTTGTGGTCGTTTGTAACAACCTTCTAGTACAGGAGCTCCAAGCTTGCCTACTAGGAGTCTAGGATCATCAAACTCAGGAAATCGGACCCTTATTACTTTATTAGTCGATGGAACTGTCTCGGTAATACAAGCTCATCAAGGTTTTACCAGCATGTACATTCTTTTTTAGCTGAGAAGGCAATAGCTGTTAATCCAAATTCAAGAGGTGAGGCCCATGAATCCTCCACAATCAAACTTGGGATAGTTATAAGCAGCTTAACAATTTATTCATGGCAGTGCATGGTAACCTAGCCATGCTTATAAGCTGACCTTGATGTTTTCCGGGTCAGATCACCCATTAGAGGTGGCCACTCAGCCCCTGGCAATGTGAGCCATCTGACTAGCCACTGACTCTTCCCTTAGCTAGTTGAACTCTTTGGTCATTTTGAGCCCCGCCACAACTTCAGTAGATGTGCCCTTGGGGCATCCCTCCTTAGCTTGGCCACCTTTTCATTGTAGATGGGGGAAATATCAGTTCGTCTTATCCTTAAGGTTCTCCCGCTCCTGGTTTACCTACAAGGCTGCAAGAGCAGCACACTGGTTCTTTCTGTTCACAATCACTGCACATGCAACTGAAATCAAGTCAACAACAGCTCCAGCAAAGTACAACGAACCTAACCTAAGCTAATGGAAATCGGAAAGAAAGGATTAGGACCTCATCCCTAATTGGACGTCGAGGTTCTCCAGTCACTGGGGAAGGGAGATCTTCAATTTAAGAACACTTTTTTCTCTTAGAAAACAGGCAGTCAACAGTCCGAAGGAACAGTTTTTTATGTGCTATCCTCTACTAGGTTAAAAATTCTTTAAATGAAGCAACATGGAGAGAAAGAGGTTAAATGAAGGCAACAAGGATGTAGTTTTCTGAATGGTAGAGGAAACGAAGCAATGTTGGATTGAGACACACCGGTGATCCTTTAACACTGCAAAATGTTTTCAATGATTGCCTCTAGAGGCATACCACAACTCTAGATCATTTTAATCTAAAAGCAAGTATTTCAAATTAAATTTGGAAAATTTAATAACTGACTATTAAAAAGACCTGAAACGTATTTCAGACTCTTTGTAATTATAGCTAGATAACTTCTAGCATAAAAGTGGTAGGTGTTGAAGAATACAAACACAAAATAGCCTCTGAGAATGAAAAACTATAGCAAAATGCTTCAAAAATAACTCCATCCGGCATCCTTCACTACACCAGTTCCTCTCATCGTACTTCTGAGTTTCAAGACTTTGTACCACTAGCCCACATCTGCCTGGATATTTGACAAAGAAACGTATGTTCCATCTTCATATGGCTCTAATTTAGTAATTTTTTCAGCGGCTACTTTCCCAAGATGAACTTCACCATGCACCTTGCAAGCAGCAAGCAGTGTTTTCCAAACCAAAGCATCAGGTTGTATAGGCATTTGATAAATGAACCACTCAGCCTCATTCAGTCTACCTGATCGACCAAGGCATCCGGTTGTATAGGCATTTGATAATGAACCTCTCAACCTCTCAGCCTCTTTCAGTCTACCTGATTGACTAAGATGATAAAGATAAATACAAGACAACAGTAACATAAGAATATGCAAGTAAATTGCGACCAGTTCTTTTTTCTTTTGGAGCAAGTCAAGTGCCACATTGACACTTTTGTGCTTGAGGCCCTAAGGGGTGATTTAAATAATCCTAACTGATGCAGAGGCTACAATGGCATGTACCTGCTGAATAGCAAACAACAGGTTTAAACCATGACCATTCAATGGGCTATTTAGTAAATCTATTCACTTAGTGGTTCTAATTGGGGCTTTTCTAATTGAGGGGGGAATTGGACAGCTTGAATGAATAGGTGCACGGACTTAAATGACCCTTTAGCCCTAACTGCCTGAGTGATACAATCTCTCCAAAGCTTTTTTTTAGGCATCCAACTCCAAATATTTCTAATGCTCCAAGCCAAAAGGTCTGAAAAAATGACTCTTTGGCAAACTGTTTTGTAGGAAGTAAGCCCAAATCAAAACCATCAAATAGTTTATAAACTAACCTTTGAGGGAACATAGTTTCCACGACCCATTTGAACGATAATATCTGTAAAGCCTTTCTTGAACAATTCTTTCCTAGTTTGAGGACTGTACCGCTTTAACAAGATCGTCAAAACAAGTAGTCCCAACAGTCACAAAAACAACTCTCTTTTTATCCCCATTCGCATGAGCCTCGCCCATCTGAAAAAGACACCATATTTATCCCACTTCTAGCTGCAAATTTCTTTAGTTTTCAAATTTGAAGCAAGGCATAGTGATCTAGAACAAACATGTTTTTGAATGGTCTTAGAGAGTACGATTTTCCCATCAGACAAATATACATTACTGGATATGGGCTATAACCTGTGAAAGTTTCTTCACGCTGAGAATCCACTACAACAAGACCTTTTAAACCTGCACACACATGATATAACACAGAATTAAATCTGGTCAACGAGCAGGAAGGACGAAAGGGTAGTGATTCTGAGAGAATTGAGTGATAGTGGAATTGTTCTAAAAAGATCGCAAATTTCAAATGAAAAAACTGACCTATTAACATATATCCCACATTAATCTAATTGTTGTTAAGCAAGAACTTTACGGTTAACCTTCCTAAAACGATCCCAATTCTCAAGTGACCAATATTTTGTAAACCCGTAAAAATGTGAAATTGAGGTGGAATTCTGTTTTTTTTTTTAAAAATTAGAAACACGCATGGAACTCATCCAATCTGCAGACCCTTTTCAATTGCAAAAAGGAAATGGGTACGAATATGTTTCCTAAGGTAAAAAGAAACCCTAAAATCATCTTTCAAAGGCATATAAACTCTCTCTTTACAGATCATCTAAACTCAACTTGTTGCTGTTCCTTAAGGCCAACACTACAGAGTTAGTTGAAAAGCTAAAGATAAATAAGCTAAACTGTGGGCAACTACAACAGGCTCAAAAGTTGAACAGATAGCCCCAACTAAATGTTTCGACTGAAAAATATCTGACAAGAACTTAGATATTATTCGGTGAATGACAAGAACCTTTTAATTTGAACTGAAAAATAAAACCATTTGACTTTATTTTGCCAAATTAGTGTAGATAGTAATTCATATACGATAATTTCTTAAATACAAGCAATTATATCCAACCCAAGAAAGCAAAATGAAGCACAAGGCTTAACTAATCAGGAGTAACGAGTACTAGAGAGAATATAAAAACCAAAATTTGAAGTTACACCATAATATTTATGGAAACTGGAAAGGGGTGGTTCTGTTCATGAATAAAAAAAAGCCTACTGAGAATGAAGAAGAAACCCTGAATTTCATTTGACATGAACAGTGTTTAAAGGCAAAATTGTAAAAGTCATACAGGAACATACTAAAACAGTCATACTGATATACGGAGTAATTAAGGCCCTGTCCAAACCAACCTTAGATGTAGAGTAGTTTTTTCTTTCTCCATATAGGTATATATTTTCTGGAAATGGCAGAGAGATCTAATTTTGATCTTAAAACAGTTAAACTATAGGAGTAAAGATGTTTTTACTTGGTTTGATTTCAGTCCTTGACCGTACTTAACTACACCAGACTTAAATAGACCAGATTTCCACAGTTGTAAAATAAAAATAGATCAGCCATCTACCAAACCAGATCAGACCAGAACAGGCTAGACCAGCCATCTAAAAAACCAAATCAGACCAGACTAGACTATAAAATTACATTTTAATTAAAAACATCCTAAATAGGGTATTAAGGCCATTGAAGGTTCACCCACTCAAATTATTTCGACTAAAGAAGCTTTAAAGAGTCAAACCATGATGTTGTTGCATTGGACTCAAGGATTAAGTTTAAACTCACATTTAAATTTTGAAGACTTAATCATTGGCCCCTTTTGATTTTAATGACCCCAACATCCCAAATCTAATGTCTTATGGTTGGCAAGTGATTCTGTGATGTGTCAGCGGATTTTAGATTCGCCCTTTCTTCTAGGCTTTTACTCAATGAGTTAGTGTTATTAACACTTGGGGTTGCAAAATGCCTTCTGAACTCTTTGTCTTTGTATAGTAGAAACTACATAATGAGTTCAATCATATCAAATAAATGGATTACTAAGTGTAAATTAGATGGAACTGAGTCCTGCTACCAGACCCTCAATCCGAAAATCCTATTAAAATACATGAAGTTTATTCAAAAATATGATTTAACGTAAGCAGTTATTGGTGATCTATCATTACATGATTCTATTTAAATTTTGCAGTCTGGTGATTCATTGGATAACGTCGCAAAAATGGTAGGCGATGGATGGGACGCTAACTTTTTATCGTATTGCGGGTGATCATGGGGAGATTGATGAAGGGGTAGAGGAGCTTTGCATGCCTTTTAAGGGGAACAACGTGGCTGAGTTGAAGAAGAGATTGGAGGAAGAGACGAATCTGGATGACATTGTCGTTTGCACTCGAAGTGTGTTGAATGGGAAGCTTTATCCCCTTCGGTTGCATCTTCCTCCAAACAATGCAGACATGGCCGTTGTCATTGTCCCGTCATCTTCTAAAGGTCAGGCCTTGTTCGTTTTTTCCTAATTTCCCAAAACTTGTTCCCTGGTTCTTAACGTTTGGCTTCATACATCTTGCTAATACCAAGCCTATCCTAAAGGAGTTTGCGTGTGCATTTCCCTAATTACAAAATATACAGTATTACAGTCAATGTTACTCATGTTGTTTGTTTTCATTTTTTGAGTATATTTGTAATTAGCTTCTTGTCTTGGTTCTTTCAGTGGCAAAAGATTTTGCAGCAGCAGCAACAACGCCATTCTAGAGCATCCAAATTTGGAATGGCTGGGGGGTTAATTATTTGAGGTGGGGTTTACAGTTCTGTTGGTCTGAGAGAAGTATTTGTAAATACCTTCACATGGTGAAGTTAGGGTGTAATATTTAATTCTTTTTTATTTTTTGTTATTTTTCGTATTAATAAATGGCCTAAGGATCCAGCACCTGAATTCATTAAGGAGTATACATATGAAATAATAAAGTAAAAAAAAATTACTTTGGACAAAATCGAGCAAGTTCCCTCCACCTGCTCTAGGTCATACGGGCTTCCATCACGGCGCAACACCTCTACTGTTGGGACCGCTCGAATGTCGCAGCCACTTCACTGTTGCAGTCATGCCACTGACCAACACCTTTTCGGAGATGATGAGCTTTTGAATCTGTAACGAGCTTCTGAGTCGGCAGTGGCAGCATACTTTGTGCATCTGACATGCAGCAAGAGCCTCAACTTTGTGGACATTTGTAACAACCATCTAGTACAGGAGCTCCCCAGCTTGCCCACTAGGATCATCAAACTCAGGAAATCGGACCCTCATTAGTCTATTGAACTCTCGGTGATACAAGCTCATCAAGGTTTTATCAGCATGTACATTCTTTTTGTGCTGAGAAGGCAATAGCTGTTAATCCAAATTCAAGAGGTGAGGACCAAGAATCCTCCACAATCAAACTTGGGATACATATAAGCAGCTTAACAATTTATTCATGGCAATGCATGGTAACATAGCCATGCTTATGAGCTGACCTGGAAGTTTTTCAGGACAGGCTAACCATTAGAGGTGGCCAGTGGCCACACAGCCCCTGGCAATGTGAGCCAGCTGACTAGCCACTGAGTCTTCCCTTGGCTAGTTGAACTCTTTGGTCATTTTGAGCCCCACCACAACTTCAGTAGATGTGCCCTTGGGGCGTCCCTCCTTAGGTTGGCCACCTTTTCATTGTAGATGGTGGAAATATCAGTTCATCTTATCCTTAAGGTTCTCCAGCTCCTGGTTTACCTACAAGGCTGCAAGAGCAGCACACTGGTTCTTTCTGTTCACAATCACTGCACATGCAACCAAAATCAAGTGATCAACAGCTCCAGCAAAAGGCAAAGCAGAACGAACCTAACCTAAGCTGATGGAAATCAGAAAGAAATGGTTAGGACCTCGTCCCTAGTTGGACGTCGAGGTTCTCCAGTCACTGGGGAAGGGAGATCACCATTCAGATTTCAGAGGAGTTAACCAAACCTATTTTGGTTTCCCCAGTAAGAAAAGCTATGAATGGTGGCCAAGCATGAGAGATCTTCAATTTAAGAAAACTTCTTTCTCTCAGAAAATCAGGCATTCAACAGTCCAAACGAACAGCTTTTTACCAGCTATCTATCCTCTACTAGGTTAAAAATTCTTAAAATGAAGCAACATGGTGAGAAAGAGGTTTAATGAAGGCAAATAAGGATGTAGTTTTCTGAAGCAAGTATTTCAAATTAAATCTTAAAGCAAGTATTTCAAGTTAAATCTAGAAAATTTAATAATCGACTATTAACAAGACCTGAAACTTATTTCTGATTATTTGTAATTATATCTAGATAACTTTTAGCATAAAAAGTGGTAGGTGTTGAAGAATACAAGCACAAAAATAAAAATGAAATCAAAATAAATATTGATAAGATGCACCAGCCTCTGAGAATGAAAAACTATAGCAAAATGCTTCAAAAATAACTCCATCCGGCATCCTTCACCACACCAGTTCCTCTCATCGTACTTCTGAGCTTCAAAACTTCATCCCACTGGCCCACATCTGCCTGGATATTTGACAAAGAAACGTATGTTCCAGCTTCATACGGCTCTAATTTAGTAATTTTTTCAGCGACTACTTTCCCAAGATGAATTTCACCATGCACCTTGCAAGCAGCAAGCAGTGTTTTCCAAACCAAAGCATCAGGTTGTATAGGCATTTGATAAATGAACCTCTCAGCCTCTTTCAGTCTACCTGATCGACCAAGAAGATCTACCATACAAGCATAATGTCGGTTATTAGGCTCTATACTGTAATCTTCTTTCATTGAGTTCAGGAAAAAATACCCTTCTTCTAGCAAACCAGAATGGCTACAAGCAGAAAGAAGACCAATAAATGTCTTAGAATCAGGCATGATGTCACATTTCCTCATAAGCTCATAAACTTGTAAGGCCTCAACTCCTTTCCCATGTTGGGCATAGCATACAACCATGGCCGTCCAGCTAATAAGATCAGGACTCTTGATTTGCTTAAATGCTGCGCAGCACTCATCAATGTTTCCACATTTTGAATACATCATGACCAATGAACTTCCCACACAGGCATCTGAGTCTAATCCCCGCTTTATACTTTGGGCATGCAGTTGGGTGCCAATGCCGGATTGGTTCAACGGACCAACAGGGCAAAGTAAAGATGATATCGTGAAAGCATCGACGTGCAAATCATTCACAAGGATTTCATTGAACACTTGAAAGGATTCATTAACGTAACCTCTTTGATTGTACCCAGCAATCAAGGAGGAACATGAGAACTTATCTTTGTGGGGCATTATGAGGAATAGTCTCCTTGCTGAAACAAGATCTCCGCACTTTGCGTACATATTCACCAGTGCACTCCCTACAATAGCAAACTCACCTATTCTGCATCGAAGAATAAAACCATGCACTTCTTTACCAATCTTCAGACACTGAAGAGTGGAGCATGCAGATAAGACAGAGCTTAATGTCTTTTCATCAGTCATTAAATTTTCAGAGAGCATCTCTCTAAACAACTTGATTGATTCATCTGCATACCCATGATGTGCAAAACCAGAAATCATTGATGCCCAAGAGACAGAATCTTTGCACTCAATAAGCTCAAAAATTGTGTAAGCTTCCAGCAAGCTAAAACAATTGGAATACATTGCAAAGAGACAGCTACTCAAAATAACATCACTGAATAATCCAATTTTAAGGGTGTAGCAATGAATCTGCCTACCTAGATCTAGAGAGTTTACAACACCCAACAAACTAGAACAACAAAATTCATCTGGTTTGACCCCCTCATGAAACATTCTCTGAAATAAATGAATTGCCTTAGAGGAACTGCAGCCTAGCAAACATGCAGAAATCATATTAGCCCATACACCAAGGTGCTTGAGATCTTCAGTCTCTGCAAAGACCATTTCAGATGAACCATATTCCCCAATCTTGGAATACATACTGATCAAAGCGATCATAACCAGTGAGTCCTGATAAAATCCAGCTTTAAAAATCCAGGAATGGATTTGCATTGCTTCTACACTCATCGCTGGCTCAGCACAAGCTGTAAGCACACAGGAAATGGTAAAGTCATTTATTTCAACCTCCTTCTGCCTCATTTCATCAAATAATTGAAATGTTGAAACATAATCTCCACTCTGAACAAAACCATTTATCAAAGCTGTCCAAGAAACAACACTTTGAACTGGCTTCTTTGTGAATTCCTTCACAGCCTCATTCATATACCCTCCTTTGGCATACATATCAACCAAAGCAGTCTGCACAAATACATCATTGTCATAACCACATTTAGTTGCCCATACTTGGACCATCTTCCCCATCTCAAACTCCTTAACTGCAGCACAAGCTTTTAACACAGTTGAGATAGTTACACCATTTGGCATCAAATGCCCATAACACATTTGAATAAACATATCTACAGCATTCCAATATTTTCGATGTTTAACAGCTCCGGATATAATTATATTCCAACAAACGATATTATCGCATTGAAAATCATAAAACACCCTTAAAGCATTATCAAACCTACAACTCTTAACAAACAAACCTATCATCCCAGACCTTACATAACCATTAGAAAAGAACCCATTTTTCATTACGAGACCATAAACCTGTTCGCCGCACACCACAGATTCTAAAGCTTCGCCAGCAGAAAGAGCTCCTCCATATGTAAACCTATCCATACATACGGCTGATGCGTGCATGCTACAAAAATATTCCCATGAAACTCTGAACAACAGCGCCCTGTTACAACCCGAAATCATCTGGTTCCAGCAAAACGTATATGGGATAGCCATTCTATCGAACAACTTAACTGCGTAGTCCATTCTTGAACATTTATAGTACCCATCCAGTAAAGATTTGACAGCTGAATAGTTCTTAACCGAAGTTTCTGTTCTGAGGAAACGACCATGCAGGATTTTGGTTTCAGATAGGGCCAAGAATACTGACTTGTCGTGTTCTTGGAAGGAGCGAGACAGGTGGGGTGTAGCGGAGTTTTCAGAATTTTGGTCTGAGGAAACTGTATGGGTTTGAGGAGCTCTGACAAATGAAATCAATCTGTTGCCAAAGACTGATAACTTTGGATCATATTCTCGTTTTAGTATAGAGTTCATTTCTAAATTCTCATTTTTCAGAATTCATTCCTACGGGATGGGAACTAGCTGAGTTGTGGGGCTTCCGTTAAAACTGAATTATGAAGAAGAGAAACGCAATAGAGAATCAGGTTGGAAGTCTTTACATTTTGAAGCACAGTCTTCTCCGCGCGCCCACGCACCCATCTTTCATCAGACCAGCACAATTTTGTCTTCATATTTTTTGGTCATGCCAGATTACCAGGTTATTAATTTTAAAAAAATAAAAGTTGTGGGTAGATTTCATAAAAAATAAATGTCTTTGTCGTTAAATGCTTTTGCTTTTAAAAAATCAGTTTTTGAATTGATTTTGGAAAAATTGATTAATAGTAAAAGTTGGTAGTATTTGGTAAAGTATGTCCTTTAATAGAAAAAGTAAAAATTAGTTTTAAGTCAAAAGCCGACAAGAGCTTTCTTGGGTAGAAATTATCACTTGATAATACTAATTTTAACTTTTTTTAAGCGAAAACTGAAAACGTTTTTTTCAAACATTTGCAAACACGCCCTGAATCGGGTCTTCTCCTTTATTCTGTGTAATAACTTTTTGTTGAAAAAAACTGTCTTGTTTATTTCAACTTAAACATACTTATTTTATGCGTGTGATTTTCACATGATACTCAGAGCCGCTCAAGTCTAAAAAAGTATTCGAAATGTAGTTGTGAAGAATTGAATTCCAATTTATCCTTTCGCTTTAAACACACTCTATATCTTCCAATTGAATATACTCTTTTGGTATACCATCTATCACTCATGATCCACCTAAGTTAAGAGTCCTTATGTTAGTATACGTGACCGGAAAAATGAATAACATAAGAGCATTATTGGGACTTTGTTATGAAACGTGAATAACATCATCGTACATGAGATTATTTTGCAATGATGTCGGTGAAATGATCGATTAGTAAGAGGGGTCATTTGGCAAAACCATTTGATAGAATAATTTGAGGTCAAAACATCAATCTTTTTTAGATTATTTGTGAAATTAGAACTAATTAGTTAATGCAGGATTACAAAAGATCAGATTGTTTTGAGATGATGGTTGAAGAAGGTAGTTCAAATTTCAAAAACAATTATGCGGCAGTAGTTCAAAAACACATAAAAAGGTGAAAAATAAGGGATGCATGATCTTATTTATTTATTTATTTATTTATTTATTTTATTTATCTTCAAATAAGTACCGATACCCGAACATCTTCCTTTTTCTCTAACTATTAGTGGATGATTAAATCCAAAAAACATTACCAATTACGAGTCCCATAATGTTTGCATGTACCATTCTGCACACAAATTGTACTTTTTGATTGGAGCAAGCACACTACGATTAGAAGCAAGGTCATAGCTAATGACTCTGAAAGTCCGTGCAAAATGACTGGAGTGACTAATATTATGATTGTTAGCGATATCCACAAAGCAATACAATAATCTTTTACAACATTCAAAACTATTACGAGGCCTTTTTCTTTAGTGTTCTCCCGTCAAACTCTTAATTTGATTTTTTTTACCTCTCTGAAATAAGACAGATCATTATTCAGGGAAACCAAGATGCCTACTAATGAGTTCAGCTACAGGCTTAGCATCACCCGGTTGATATGGAACAAGAGTCTCTATGGACATATCAGCAATGGTTTGATATAGTGTGTGAGGTCGTGCACAAAACAAATGCTTCCTTTCTGCAAGTTCTTCTGCTAACTCACTCTGATGATTGTCCATTAAATCCTCATTGACGACCACGATCAATGGTTTGCCAAGACGCAATGTCTCAAATATGCTTCCTGAGCCTGCAAATAAATCAAATCTGATTGTGTATTAATTGCATTTAAAGATGACGCATGGCAAGCTTATCACAAAACTACTGAAGTTCTTAGAGACTTAGAGTGACACCATATCCAACTTTATGGGATAAAAGGCAGAACAAAATGCTAGAGATATGAGTAAGGTGAAAGACAAAAAGTCAAAACTCAAAACCTTTTATTCTGATGAAATCTTAAGTCGAAACCATAATTCGTGGGGAATAGGACACACAAAGGTCCATTTTGAATGAAATGATAGGGAAAGAATATAGAGAGGAAAATATATGGGAGAGATTTGGAAGGAAAGAAAATGCTGTTCACACTCAATTAGTTGGTTAATATTTTCTCAGACTCATTGTATATATTTATTACTCTTATAGAGGGACTAGGAAACCTGAAGTTCTAAGCATATGCAGGGTTTTTAAAGCATTAAACACGTTTCATTTTTCCTGACATCTTCTAAGGTAAAACAAAACACAAGAAAATAAGCTTAGCATTTTTCCTTTCCCTAGGGTTATGGGATCCTTTCATACCCAAGAAAAGGGAGCACAGGGAGTAAATGATTAGGAATGAATTAGTGGCAATGCAAAAAGGAATGGACTAGAAAACGACATGAAGAATGGAGGGAAATTGCACATGGATGCATAAAAATACATATGCATTGAATCATAGCTAACCTGCATGACTAATAACAAGAGAAGCTGATTTCAGATATTCAGCTATGCTTGATGAGAAGGTAAAATATTCCAGAGTCGGGGATCCATTTTCCATAGCCCGCTGAAAAATTTAAACTGGTAATTAAATCAGCAATAAAAAGATGCCATAAAATCATAAGTTTCTAACTCTAACAAATAAATACTTATAGCTACTTTCAGATGGTGTTAACCATATTGTCTAGTTAGTTGTTACAAAGTCTATCTGCAATTGATCAATCTAATACTCTAACAAAACCTCATCTTACATTAGTTACATAGCCTATATATAGCTTGTCTAGAGTTTAGACAGCTTTTATGGAGAGGGTGGGAGCAGCCTTTAAGCACAGAAATACACATAAACTTAAAAAGATGCATACAACTTGTTAATGTGGATGATCAAATCAAGAAGTATGTCTACACAAAATAAGCTAATCAGGAGTTTCAGTAATGTGGACAAGGTACAATTTCATTTAATAATATTAAGAATAATTTCGATTTAGGAAGGTTGAGAGGGGCATCCGTCATGAAAATTGTGGGTAAGCTTTTCCTGTGAGAATTTAATTTTAACTGTTTTAAGACAATTAATAGATAGTATACATTTTTGCCACCAACACAACATAGTACGGGTGAAGGTGGTGAAGATGAATCCTAACTTCCTGTTAATACTAGGTTTCCTTATATCAGGCCTCCTGTTAAGTATAGGCAATTCCATAGTGATGAAGAGAGAATTGTCAAAACAACGCACACCAAAGCTCTTATTTGCGGATACCAAAGCTCTTTTTTAATTCATAAGAAATAACAGCAGCTTCAACAACCCATGTGATAATCAATAAGAACAAGTAGCTACTTTGGAAAAAAAACTATGGAACTAAAATAGCCACTTATAGATTAACAAGTAGTACTGACTATTTTGTTCTGCCACTTATAAAATAGCCAAGTAATGCTTGTTAGATTCTTAGTTCTTACCACCCACCCAACTGCTGGCTGAAGGGCCAAATAGATTCCTCCAAGTTGTTTAAATCACCCCTTCAATCAGACTAAGTTCTAATTAAAACCACCATTTTAATAAAAATATGAAATTTATGAATAGCTTACTTGGCTTTTCAACTCCCAGTTGCTCATTATTTATTTATTTATTTGTATGATTCAGTTACATTCACTACGCTAAATGGTCAAACAGGTCCAGGTATCCAAACTACTCAATTCGGTCCCCTAGAATACAAAAAATGTCCAGCCATTATCTTCTTGTTTGAAATATTTAACCCTAGTCCCCATCGTCATCATAGGTGCATTGGGAAACCAGGACAGATACCACCTCAATCTCGTTAAAAACTTTGTTTTATGCGTAAATGTTTTTCCGGCTCACCCCATTTTTTTCTCTCTCGATACACTAATGATCGTAATCATCTTCATCCATGGAATTCAAACTCAAACTTGTTGTTCAGATTGGCCAGCTTATGGGTGGCAAGAACCGGCAACAATCTTAGTATTAAAAAACCGTGGCAACTCATCCAATCCCCTCACATTTGAACCCTACCACTCAAGCAGAAATCAAGATATAAGAAGTTCAACTTCTCATAAATCAAAGTCTGGGAACCAAAATCTTGTATAAGAAAAAATTGCTTTTGAAGTATTTGAAGAAAAAATAGTGTTTTAGTTGATCTGGGGTGTGGGGATGTAGAATATGCAAGTAAATTGCGACCAGTTCTTTTTTTCTTTGGAGCAAGTCAAGTGCCAAATTGACACTTTTGTGCTTGAGGGGTGGTTTAAACAATCCTAAGTGATACAAAGGCTACATTAGTATGTACCTGCTGAATAGCAAACAACAGGTTTAAACCATCCAACGGGCTATTTAGTAATTCTATTAACTTGGTGCTTCTAAGTGGGGCTTTTCTAATTGAGGGGTGATTGGACAGCTTAAATGAATAGGTGCACCGTGCACGGACTTAAATGACCCTTTAGCCCTAACTACCTGAGTGCTACAATTTCTCCTAAGCTTTTTTTGCATCTAACTCCAAATATTTCTAGTGCACTCCAGCCAAAAGATCTTCGAAAAAAAACTCTTTGGTAAACTGTTTTTTAGGAAGTGAGTCCAGATCAAAACCATCAAATAGTTTATAAACTAACCTTTGAGGGAACATAGTTTCCACGACCGATTTGAATGATAATATCCGTAAAGCCTTTCTTGAACAATTCGTTCCTAGCTTGAGGACTGTCTACCGCTTTAACTAGAGCGTCAAAACAAGTAGTCCCAACAGTCACAAAAACAACTCTCTTTTTATCCCCATTGGCATGAGCCTCACCCATCTGAAAAAGACACCATATTTATCCCACTTCTAGCTGCAAATTTCTTTAGTTTTCAAATTTGAAGCAAGGCATAGTGATCCAAAACAAACTCGTTATTGAATGGTCTCAGAGAGTACGATTTTCCCATCAGACAAATATACATTACTGGATATGGGCTATAACCTGTGAAAGCTTCTTCACGCTGAGAATCCACTACAACAAGACCTTTTAAACCTGCACACACGTGATACAACACAGAATTAAATCTGGTCGACGAGCAGGAAGGACGAAAGGGTAGTGACTCTGAGAGTTTGGGATCCGTGGATCCAAGATAGTTTAAATGTTTGAGAATTGAGTTGTAGTGGAATTGTTCTAAAAAGATAGCAAAGTTCAAATGAAAAATCTGACCTATTAACATTTATCCCACATTAATCTAATTCTTGTTAAGCAAGAACTTTATGGTTAACCTTCCTAAAACGATCCCAATTCCCAAGTTACCAGTATTTTGTAAACCAGTAAAAATGTAAAATTGAGGTGGAATTCTGTTTTAACAGAATTAGAAACGCCCATGAAACTCGTCCAATCTGCACACCGTTTTCAATTGCCAAAAGGAAATGGGTATGGATATGTTTCCTAAGGTAAAAAGAAACCCCAAAATCATCTTTCAGAGGCATATAAACTCTCTCTTTACAGATCATCTAAACTCAACTTGTTGATGTTCCTTCCGGACAACACTACAGAGTTAGTTGAAAAGCTAAAGTTAAATTAGCTAAACTGTGGCAGGTAATACAGGCTCAAAAGTTGAGCAGATAACCCCAACTAAATGTGTAAAAGTCAAAACTCTAGAAGAAATGATTCGACTGAAAAATATCTGACAAGAACTCCGATAGTATTCGATGAATGACATGAAGCTTTTAATTTGAACGAAAAATAAAACCAGTTGACTGTATTTTGCAAAATTAGTGTAAATAGTAAATCATATACGATAATTCCTTTAGAGCCTGTTTGGTAGTTTAGACATTAAAAGTTTACATGCAAAATGATTGCATGTAAAGTTTAGGGCCGTAAAATAGTTTGCATTTAAAATAGAAATACATTGTTTGGTCATGTGTGTAATCTATTTTTAAATTACACGTAAACTCTTTACATTGTTTGTTAACAAATAAGTTTACATGTAAAATATTTAGAAAATAACTACAGGTTCATTGACGGTTGAGAACTTCTGTTCAAAGTGAAGAGAACTTCTAATTAACAGTTGGCCTGCAGCCTTTAACTTTGAGAAGGATTAATCACTACCACTTTATTTGAAGCAACTAGAAAATTCAATGGCTGCAGTTTACCATTGAATGAAAATGAAATTCAACTAGGCGTACATCAAAATGTCATTATATAATTCAACCGAAGAAAGCAAAATGAAGCAAAACAAATCAGGAGTAACGAGTACCAGATAGAATATAAAAACCAAAATTTGAAGTTACACCATAGTTACACCATAATATTCATGGAAAGAGGTGGTTTTGTTTAGGAAACAAAAACAAGCCTACTCAGAATGAAGAAGAAAACCTGAATTTCATTTGACATGAACAGGGTTTAAAGGCAACTGTAAAAGTCATATAGGAACATTATCAATCAATTGTGAGTTTATAGTCCAAAACTTAGGCTCATTTGACTTTTTGGATTTTAACTATCATCAGACAGAAAGAAAACAGTCGCACCATCCATTTAAAAAAGATTAAAAACGAAAGGCTTGTAAGCCTTTAAAGATGTTTTGAAAGCGCTCCTTGAAAAACTGTTGAGTATCTACCTGCACGACTGCAACTAAGACCAAACATTAGGGTTGTGTTGGTATCTTTTGCGTTTTCAGATCAATTTACACAAATAATTAATAATTACCTTGCTATACGGCTAAGAAACAAGAGACGGAAGAAACCGAGATGAAGATTTTGTAAAGTTTCTACACAGAAAAAAAATCAGCTCCAATCCTATGTTTACAAAACCGACCCGACCCGGCCGGGTCGACCCGGAACCCGGTGACCCGGACAAAAAACCGATTCGGTTTTTTCAAAACCCGGAAATGGTCAAAAACCGGAAAAACTCGACTGACCCGGGAAAATCCGGTCAAGACCCGGACCCAAGAAACCCGAAAAACCCGGTAAAACCCAGTTTTTGGGTGTTTTTACCAAAAAAAAGTAATTTCTTTTTTATTTTTAATGCATTTTTTATACCAATAAAATTGCAATTTCAATACCTTAAAAAGATAAACTACGTAATATATTTATATATTTATTTAAGAATGAACATCATGCCAAATTATAATATAGATGTACAATAAAAATAAAAATATCATTATATATTTTTATAAGATCAAAATATACATTGAAATATTATGAGAGTGTATTAAATGCTTAATAAGTAGTATTGTTAGTTGATTATTATGAATAATAACTAATTTTTATTATAATTTTATATATAATTATATGTTTACTATTATGGGAGTGTATTAAATGATTAATAAGTAGTATTGTTAGTTGATTATTATGAATAATAAATGATTTTTATTATAATTTTATATATAATCATTGACCGGTTTTCCGGCGTTGACCGGGTTGACCCACCGAGTCCGGGTTGACCCGTGACCCAGTCATGTGGTCGGGTCACTCTCCGGTCCGGTTTTTACAACATAGCTCCAATCACAACAAAAAATGGAAAATTATATCGTAGTAAGGTGCTCACCGTACAACCAGGTATTTTTGCAATTAATTACAACTCCAAGGTCTTCCCTTTTGTGCTGCTCGTTGATGTCCTGGGAGGTGGAGGAGCCAATCGATGCTCCTCGCTTGGTCTTGGATACTGCTCGCTCGCTGCTCTCCGCAAAGTTCCGATCGATGTGCCGACCACCTGCCAAGTTCCGCAGCAGGAAAAACGCAAAGAACTTCCGCTGGAGTTCTGTGAGTTGCCAAAGCTGCTCTATGGATTATGGAAGTAAAATCTTGAATTCTGCTCCGTATTTAGTTATGGAATCCCCCAAAGACAAATTACAACTTCTAATTTAATATTGTATTTTAGTATTATATTTTAATATTGTACTCCTCATATTAATATTTTCTACTTATTAATTACTAACTTAAATTTTATGTTATATTGAAAATGAGTATAGTGTTTATAACAAATGAGTATAACGGTTAAAAGTTTTGAACATACAATATTGAACATACATAATTCAATATTTGAACAAGTTAAAAAAATTAAATGAGCATACACAAATACAAATTTGAGCATACTAGACAATTCAAATGAGGTGCACAAATGAGAGCGTATCATAGATTTTAAATGAGCTTTTTGAATTTTTGGTTGCTCATTTCATAAGTAATGTTTACTCATTTAATATTAGTGCAATGCTCATTTTAAAATGTTTCACATTTCAAACTTACTACGTACTCCCTCCGGTTCTTTTTAAACTTCACACTTTCCTTTTTGGGACGGTCCAAAATAAACTTCACACTTCCTTATTTCCTTATTTGGCAAAGAAATCTACATCAAAACAGTGCTAAACAGTGCCAAACAGTGTCTCAACAGTGCCAAACAGTGCCAAACAATGTCTCAACAGTGTACTCTACAGTAAAGTCAAATTTATTTCCTTAATCAATGTGAAGTCAAACTGTAAAGTTTAAAAAGATCCGGAGAGAGTATTATATTACATTATATTAATCTTGAATGAGTATAAAACCCAAAATGAATGAGCATACACAACTGAACAATTGAATTTTTTGATACTCATTTTGTAAATTATGTATGCTGATTTGGTACCATTCTTCTACTCATTATATTTTTACATAAGACTTTATTATAGACATGAGAGAACATATCATGATGCTCAACCGCATAATTCTAATACTCAATAGAGGAGATTTGATACTCAATTAAAATATGAACAAAAACTTACGTTTTTCATATAAATGCTCATTTTATATGTTACATATGCTCAATTGGTAACGATGTTATGCTCATTTTTAAAATGTCATACCAATTCATTATTTCAAAAGTACCATATTACATTAGATTCGCATATTGAAATTCATAGGAATTGATTATAGATATAATTAAATGAGCTTTTATAAAAAAAAATAAGAAAAACAAAGTGAATTACAATATATGAAGTTTATATCACAATACTCATTATTTTACTCTTAATACTCAGTAGAATACGTCTGATGTTCATTAAAAGTGTATTAATGCTCATCTAATGAAAACCACGATTTTCACTGAAATTACGAAAATGCCACCGTTTTTAAATTGTGATATCAGCTTTCTTGTAATAACATGGTGCTCATTATTGGACCCTTAATACTCATTACAATTGGACTATTGCTCATTAACAGTACACTGATGCTCATTTAGCAGAAACCGTGATTTTTACATTAATTACAAAAACGCCACCGAATTATTTTGCTATTTTTTCCTTGGGCCTGTTCCTGGACCGGCTGTACGGTGCTCACCGTACAGCCGGTTGTACCATATACGTACTCACAAAAAAATCTGCTCCAAAATGAGGATTTTGAAAGGCATGGAATCTAAAGCAAAAAAAAAGTGCAAATAAGGCCACGTATTAACCAAAAAAAGTCAAATAAGGCCTTATTTAAGAGGTTTTGTCCGGCCGTCGCCATTAGGGGTGGTTCCCGGTGGAATTTTTTGATGAAATTTTTTGAGCATCTTATTCAGTAAGTCTAGTTTACTCATACCAAATTTCAGCTAACAATTCAATCGGGAAGACATTCAAATGAATTCTTGAAGATAGCTGCGCAGTTATCTTCAAGAATTCATTTGAATGTCTTCCCGATTGAATTGTTAGCTGAAATTTGGTATGAGTAAACTAGACTTAATGAATAAGATGCTCAAAAAAATCATCAAAAAATTCCACCGGGAACCACCCTAAATGGAGAAGGCCGGACAGAGTCTCATAAATAAGGTCTTATTTGACTTTTTTTAATTAGTACGTGGCTTTATTTGCCCCTTTTCCCGCCAAAAAATCATCAACTATAAGCATATCATTTACCGATAAGAATTACGTAGTACTTTATGTTTATTTGAGAAGGATCGGTGCATGTAGGCCTGTGGTCGGGTTGGACCCCGAACCCGAACAGGATCCGGTTGTGGGTAACAGACTAACAAATACGGGTCTATAACTTATTTTGTTTACCCAAACTCGGGTTCGGACCCATTAGTATTTTTAATAAACGGGTTAGGTATGGTACATATGATTTCGACTCGTTAAGGACTCGGACCCGTTTAAAATTTCTTAAATGTATACACACACAGACACACTAATTTATAAAGTGATTAGTTATAACACTTTTTTTAGAACAGATAACTTAATTATTTATAAAACTGAGAACCAGATACAAATTCACCATAACAAAGGCTCCACTTGGGTGAGACTCGGAGTTGGATTCGCGCTTACAAGCGTACCATCTCGCTAACCCCGCAATGTGGTAGGCTCCATACACAGCAATGTTGTATCTGCTAGTAAAAAGGGAATGAAAACACAACACAGAGTTTTGAAAGATCCTGGTTTTACCGACCACCAGTAAGGAAGAAGGGGTTTGATCTACAAACTCCAAAGATACCAAACTGATTTGACCAGCCATCGGGAATGGAGAAGAGGTTTGTTCAGCCACCTCCAAAGGAATATTCCCACCTGCAGCAACTAATGGAAATCTAGGCGGTGCTGATTCATTAGCACCGCCGCAACGCCTTTTTTGCTATGATACCATCTACCTCCAAATTGACTTCAGCAATGGATATCATACTGCCTGAATTTGCAATCATCTTCATGGGATAAACTCTCGGTTGTATCACACAGAGACACAAATCCACTATCCACACACGAACCGTCAATTGAAAAACAAGACAAAGCCAAACAGCACACTAAGTACGTAGAGACGACGGCAATATAATCTCTGCCTCCAAACGAAAAAAGAACAGCAACAAAATTCTCAGCCACAAACGCGCCGGAGCAAATCACACGGGACACAATCCCGGAAAACCAAACTTCAATGGAAGAATCGAACAAGAAAGCAAAAAAAAAAAAAGACCTGGTAGCATCGTCCAAGGATCACCGCCCTATCTCTGGCCTTCGCCTGACGATTCTCACGGACTAGATGCCTTCGACTGGAGAAGCTTCTTCTCGATACCAGCAGCAGCGGCTCTTGCTAGGGTTCGCGCATCGCATTGTCAATGCTATAACGTATATCAATGTTGATCGCTTTTCAAAATTTACTATGTGTTGTTCTATGAAATTACATTTAGAATCTCAGAGTTGTTGGCATTTATAAAATGGACATGGGAATGACGAGCAGAAGGAAATGCAGATCATAGGCCGGAGGTTAGGTCTCCCAACGGCAGGCGTCATTAGTTATAACACTTAATAATACAATACAAACTAATATATATGTGCATGTATATATATACACATTTACATAATAATAATACATGCTACTTCTATCCCAAATTGATTGACAAAATTGGTGTTTTTTTGTCAAACAGTTTTATTTTATTCACTTAATTCAGATGTCAATTTTTAATTATATTCTAATTTAGATTTTGTAACTTTGAAGAACTTTTAATGTAGTTTCTGAATTTGTAAATTTTAATAATTAATAAAATAATTAATTATCAATAGGGAGGATATAACTTTAAAATTCGTTTACCAAAAAATGTTGACTTTGCAAATCAATTTGGGACGGAGGGAGTAAAGTTTTATTTGAAAGGAAGAAATATATAATACTAGTACATGAATTGTGTGATGGGCTCAGTAGGCAAAGCACAATATTTATTGTTATTACTATTATTGTTATTATTATATAATTATTATATTATTATTATATTATTATTATTTCAATTTATTCTACAAGTTTTCTATGAGTTTGGCCTCTTAGTAGTTCAAAAAAAACTTTTTGTGA